CGGGTTGCGGTGTGCCGGGGGGGGCGGGCAGGGCTCTGCATGTTCTAAGAGATTACGATGGGAGAATTGGTTAAACGTCCCCTGTAACGCGTTAGGGAAGTCAGCTTTCAAGGGCATGAATTCATCTTCCCCCTTTGCGTTTTGGGGTTGTGTCTCTGATAGGCCTTCGAATGCAGTGGGAGAATGGGGACTCCTGCAGAGATGCAGCAGGGGCCCTCTCCAGTTCTGTTGGGAGGGGCTGACGCCTGTTCTCCCGGTGGATGCACCACGTGCCCCCGCCCTGGGAGCTCCTGGGCGGGCGTGACGGGGCGATGGGTTTCTGTTGCTTTCAAAGCCTGTCCCCACCGATAGCTGGCATTTGCACTGTGAGGAGCCCACATGGCGATTCAGAAGGGCGGGCAGGGACTGGTCGGATTATGGCCATGGGGGGGGATTGTTCTCCGTCCTCATCTGGTGGGTTCAGGGCCTCGGTGGATGTCCACAGAGAGAGGAACACAGGGGGGGCATTTGCGCGTCTGTAAAAGGCCGATCCCCAAGTACCGACGCTTGCTCAGGCGTGAGAAAAGAAACCAAATGAATCCCAGACTCGCAGCTGGGTGGGCGGCGCCTTGTCGCTTTGTGCTGTGACTGGGTGGCGCCGGCTCCCACCCTCCCTGCCAGGGCTTCCGTGCCACTGCGTTCTTGCCCGCGCATGTGCGGTGATGCTGAGCATTCCCCTTCCGTCTGGGGAGCAGAAACACCTCTCCAAATGACAGCCGCTTCGGGGGGGGATTTTCCAGCCCCCCACTCGCTCTCGTGCCCCAGACTGCGGGGCGGAGCGCTCGGGACTGGCGCATGGGCCACCGGCTTGGAGAAACCCTGGCTCTGTGCCCGTGCCTGGTGGAGGGACTCTTGGTCCTCACCGTTGGCACGTCTCCTGCGACAGCTGCTGCCCCCGCCCCATTGCACGCTGTGCTGATGTGTTAGGCGCTCGGCTGGGGCTGTGGTGCTTCTTCCTGGGCGGGGCCCTTCCGGCTGCCCCCTGCCCCATTTCTTGGATTCTGCTAAACTGTCTTAAAATGGGAAACGTCGGTGGCCTCCTGGGCTTCCCATGCCCCCATGGCCCTCTTGCGCATGGTTGAAGAGGTGCCCCCTCTCCCCACCCTGAAAACAAGGAACTGTGCAAGCTGGGAATCGGAGTCGGTCCATTCGGGCTGGAGAACCACGGATAACCCTTCTAAACATGGTGGCTTGATTGGCGGGTAATAGAGGGAAAAGTAGAAGACCTTGCTGTTTGGTTCGTTTTCTGAGAATGGTGGCTTGTTAGCACCGCAAAGAAAAGTTGGGAGGTCCTGCAGGGTTAAGAGTTGTGGCTGGAAAAGAGTCTGGAGGTAGCCAGGGTCTGCTGATACCTTTTACCCTGGATAATGAACTAGGTTACCTTTTATCCTGGATAATCCAAGAACAGGAACAGACAGGGGTCAGCAGAACGACTTCAGGTGCATATTAGGAAACGGTTAGAAAGTGGGGGGCTCACGCAACCTGTTTAATTTGCTAGACATAGCTGCCTTTGTGTAATGGGCTAACCATGGTTAACCCAGCCGCTGATCCAAACCGTTGACCCCGGTTCTGCTGACCCGGCTTCGCACTTAACGCCCAGACTTTTGGGGCTAAGCGGAAGGTATGAACTCCGCCATTGTGGTTTGGAACTCCTGGCTTAACATGTGACAGCCCAGCTATTTCTGGTTTGTTGAACAAGACATGGTTCAACCCGTTGAGCATGGCGGGGGAATTTATCCACCAGCTGGTAGTGGCTCCCCAGAGTGTAAACCAGAATGTTTTCGGTCCTTTCTGGGCTCCTCTGAGTTTGAGGCTAATGTTGCTCCCTTTTTGCGGGGTAACAAAAAACATTCTGACTCTGGCTGATCTCTAAAAACCTTAGGTAAGATTTATGTCAGTTTCGCTTAATCTGGATTCTTGGAATAGCTCCTGTCGGAAAGCTTTGAGAAGCAGCAGCGTTCATGTGCTGTTAAGGAATAGTTTTCAAATGCCGTGTATTTCCAAGGGGCTACAGGATTCCCCTACCCACAACTGTTTTATTTACTGAGAGATATTCTGTGGTTTAGTGGGGATTTTGAACCTGGCTAGCTGCGAATTCTGGGAACTGCACCTAACGTTGAAAGGTACCTGTGATTGGAAAGTCTCCATTCACACACACACCTGCGTGTATCTTAGATATCCTTACTGGAAGGAGCTGAAATGTAATCTCTGGGGGACTAGGGTGAGCAAGGGGTTCTGGTTATCCATCTCGTTTCAGCCTTGGAAATGGGCGCTGGAATCAACTTTGTTTTAAGTGGTAACATGGCTTGGTTTTGGCTGATCAAATCAGCCATGGCTTATGATTCAGCGCAATGTTTTTCAAATGGGCCCCTTTAAGATGGGTGGACTTCAACTCCCAGAATTGTGGCTGGGGAATCCTGGGAATCGAAGTCCACCCATGCAGGCTGGGGAATTCTGGGAGTTGAAGTCCACCCATCTTAAACGTGGCCCAGTTTGGAAAACACGGGTTTAGCCCATTGTGCCTACTGCGACAATTTAGGCTCCTTCAACACGTAATGATTACACCAGCGGTAGTTGGTCATTAGATACGAACAGACCTGGGAGGTTTACTTTGGGGGTACAAAATAGATAATAATTGGGGACCCCGCTTAGTTTCTGCCTGAGTGGTAGATTTGGGCAAGTCTCCAGATTGTCAAGAGGAGGTGACTCGTGGAGTGTCGCTTGGGCAAGAGCAGAGACTCATGAAGTGGTGCAGCAGGCCCCCTCCTGCAGATGAGCGTTTGGGGATCCGTGAACCGTTCACCCTCCTTGGTTTTTTGGAGATGCACGCGGACTAAATCCTGGATGAGAGCCAATGAGAGTGGAGTGGCTTTGCGGCCGGGCGGCCTACCCGCGGCCGAGGGTTGGACGTTGTGGGCCCGCCGGAGGCGGTTGGACGTCCTTTGTTGCCCGGGCCCTTCCCGTCATGCCTCGCTGGGCCTCCTGGCTGCCGTTGTGCATGTTCCATGCGTTCCCCGCTGCAGCCGGGGAGGCTGGCGGAGAGGCGCGCGAGATGGGAGTGCCAGCTTCTCCGGGGCGTTGCGCAGGCGGGCGGGAGAGCGAGCTCTTGCTGGAGCCGCGTCACGCCACAGCGCGGGCCACAAGCCCTCTCGTGCGCGTGTCGCCAGGCGACCGGGCATGCCGAGGGCTTTGCGCGTCACCTGGAGCCCTTTTTTTGTCTGTTTTGTTTGCTTGGAGCGTCATCTCTGTTTTGACCTCCGGGGCGATCGAAACGTGCCCGGGCGATTCACTCTGCCATCTGCAGATAAAAGCAAAAATTGGCTTCCTTGCCTAATTTGCAAACCGCGCTCTCGCTTTGGGTACTTTTGTGCAGAAAATTGTGCGAAGGGTGGATTTGATTGTAATTCCTTTTTTTTTTTTGGAGGACTTGGCCCAAACTTGTCTTGTTGGTCCTCCCATTTTACAAAAAGCACTTTCTGCACGAAGGCCCTGTTGCTGTTGTTATATTTTGCAAATCCAAAGAATTCTTCGTTCTTTGCGAATCGATCCAGGGTTACCTCTAGAGCCTTTGGGCAGTTTTCAGGTCCCGGATTATTTCCCCTCCCCAAATATAGTATTTGAAAAGAAGGAACATAATCGCAGAAGCTGCGCATAGATACGGGATGTCTTCCAAAGCTCTTTTCTGTGCTCCTTCGAACGTCTTCAGTTTGCTAGGAGGGCTTATTTCATTTATTATTCAGATATTATTGAATGCATTTCCTGCCTTTCTGTTTTTTGTAAACGGTTTACTGAATGCAACAGTCAGCACTTGGAGGAAGGAAACTCTGGCCACTCAGACAGAAAAGCAACAGACCTGCTTTTCTGTGGTTTCTGCCTTACCACAGCCTCCTGAAGTTTCTAGTCCTCATTGCGTTTGGGTTTGTCAGGAAGCATCTTCTTGTATGGAGATAACCATCGTAATAATGTCCAAGAATCCGGGAATTTTCCATATTGGAAATTCCAATATATTCCAATTCCAGTTGTTACCCGACTACCAAAATTTACACACCGATCTTGAGGCGCTAGGAGGAGTGACCTATTTGCATCCCCTTCTTGCCGGTTTTGATTTGGGGCCAGGATGGAAAAGCAGTTTCAATTTGGCATTTGCCCTGAAATGCACCCCGGTTTTAGGATCAGTAAAAGCCTTGCTAGGATCTGATGGTTGCATAATTAGCTTTTTTCTCTTTTTGGGGGGTTATTTGCTGGGGGGAGACAGGGATACACGTGGTTTTGTGCCCTGGGAAACCTCAGTAGGCCCCAAAATAGTGAAGTCCCTGGAGCAGAGTTTTTCCCCCTCCTTTTGGTGGTCGGAATAGCTAACAAGTCCGCTTTGTAAGCAAAAGTGCTGAACAGCCGCGTGGAAACTCCTCTGAGCTGGCTCACGAGGACAGTTTCCAAATGGTTCCCCCCCCGGCCCCCCCATCGAGTCTCCCAAGCGGGGACTGGTCCAGCAAGAACCCTTTGGGTCA